ATCGTTGTACGCCACAGGATGCCTTTCCGTCCCGTTACTAGATAAAGATACATAACCAATATAGAATTAACACCTAAATGTTAATAAGAACCAGACCCCTACACCTACGAAAGTTCTCATATGGTAAAGGAAGACAATAAACACAGCCATACATCACTCGGGAGTATAGCTCAAAGTTATTTAATTATCGCGAGGAAAAACTAATCCGTGTAGAGACAGCGAAAATTACGCGCAGCGCGTCCTTGCGTAGGCAGGTGTATCACCGAGTGCGTACACAGGATGACGTTATATGTACAGTTCTGTAACATGGACATAGAACTCATTAATTATTACTACAATTACTACAATTAATACTATTATTATTGATATCGATAAAAGTGCCTGCTGCATAAATATCATCTGAAATGAAATCGTAAATTATGTAATTATAATTGAAATGTAATTAAGTAATTATAAAAAATTGTATTAAAGGCTCGATTTACGTTGTTGCGGAATGGAATGGAAGTGAATATAATGACTTTATGTCATTTGTGTAACGTACAAACTAGATACGATATGGTAGTTGCGAGATTGAGACTGTCGCGAGAATTCTCCGAAAGACGCGGGACCTGTGTTTTCTGCATCATATACAGTTTGTACGTTACACACTTGACATAAAGTTCACTGCAGGCAAATGGCTATGGTTGCAACAATTCGCTTCCCTGGCAATGTGAATAGAGCCTAAGAAGCATGGCATTAACGCATTACGGTCCAAAAGTTTCTCCTTGTGACACCCGTGAAAAAAAGATAAGTTCAATTTTATTTTCCATTTGCGGTTTTGTACAGAGCTAAGATCACGTCAAGCTTCCCATATAGCATTGAAAATTCGACTCTATGTCGCTTGTGATAAGGGTCCAAAGACCAAAGTGTCAGGTTTGACGTGCTGTTGCCTGTAACTAAATTATTTTTTATTATTTCCAATAAAGGAATTAAATGAAAATACTTTTTAATTTTGCTTCCTCATTTACATACAGGTACGCGTAAACGATAGATTTTACAAAATTTGTATTAGCCGAAAGAACCAGCACCTGGAGGACAACGTGTCTGAGTCCAATATCATCGGAGAAATCGAGTCTACAAGACTCCGTCGGCTTGGACACCTCGAAAAGATGTCAGCTCATAGGGTGGTAAATAGTGCTTACATAAGAAGTCCTAGTGGTCGAAGACCGGTTGGTCGGTCCAAATACCGGTGAAAGGACGAAGTGGAGAAAGAAGTCGGAGGAGATCGCTTCACTTCAGTTTCCTGAGTCAGCGCGGTAAGTAAGTAAGTAAAAAGCTGTACGAAGAGCGGTTTAGTTATTAACGAGTTTCTGTGTACACTACTATTGTTATTAAAATATTTTTTTGTTTTTAGTTTTTATAACTTAACCAAAGGTATGGTGATGTTTATCACTCATTTACTTTTTTTGTGATATTCCTGTCTTTGTCTTTGTATATTTTCTATAAAGTAAGAAGAGTATGCCGCGTAATTTGTCGCGGATTGTTGCATTGTTAGGTAGATTTAGAAACGAAACTTAGGATCTATGTAGACCAATTTAAATAAAGTAAATAATAAACAAAGAAGCTGATATTCATTAAAGTAAAAAAAATCTGCCGCCGATTTATGTTCTATTTACGCTCTACCTCTGTCTTGACAACTTCATTTATATTCAAAATGGTGATCGGTAGTTTCTACCTACTCCAATGGATATCAAAGGGCGTGAGTGTATGTATGATCAGTTTTAGATCACATAAAGGAAATGTTTTGGTTCTTTATCTCCCTCCAAGTTAAAAGCATCGTTCCCACCTTTGCAACAAAACCGCATCATCCTATAGAGTGCCATACTTCAATAGAGACTAGAGGCGGCGAGGAGCTGTCTCCGGGATATTTATGCGTGTAATATTAACTCTGCTGCGACGAACGTTTCTGAACACCATGTATACTCATATTAAAAGGAATATTACTATATTAGTTGCTTGAGGTGGTAATTTTTATTAATATGTCACGTGATGCGGCTTAGGAGACTCGCCTTACAGATTTTTGTTGAGCGGGTTCTATTTATATACATAGCTTTTTAAGTACGTGCTGTGTGATAATTTTCTTTACAAAGACGTCATTTTGTAGCCAAATACATCATCTAATGAACAGCACATATTCTATGAATATCTGTGTACATCAAATAAAGAATACGCGTTCCTATATGTTTGTAATCCAGAAAGTTTATGTAGTACCTATTAACGAAAATGAACGTGCTTGCATAAGCCAGAAACATTAAATTTGTACTTTGTTACTTTATCACACATTAGAGCACACCCATAATACACACACACACACACACACACATACACATCATCTTATATTTTAACTATAATCACCTAACTTAAGTCATTGTTAAGTAAAATCAAATTTTACTTGTCATTACAGTCTTGTAATGAGGAAGAGCGGGACTCCACTCGTGGCACAACTATATCAATATCGCACTGCTATTACAATAGTGTTATAACTCGAAATAAGTGAAAATCAAGATTATATCATTGTTGAACGTAAAATTTGATTCTCTACACGTCAATAAAACCGTCGTTAGAATATTGTAAAAAAACAACTAAAATATATCTACTTAACTATTTAACTAAAAATGAGATACGCTTTATGTGAGCTAGTTCTGGCCAAAATAGTCCTTATTCAAAAACAAACAATTATTTTTTCTCTTTTATTTTTAAATATATATATTTGGTAAGTAGGAAATAACCTTTACATAAATTTATACAGATATTTCACGGGAAGCGAGTAATTAGTTTTTCGTCGATTCTGAAAAAATACACTTTTTGAGTTAATATACTATTGTATTAACAGATTTGTAAACTAGGCCAAAGTTAAAGTAAAAGACGTTTTTTTTATTTATTTATTTTATAGTAAAATGCACTTGGCATATTTCATTACTACTCCAATTATTCTATTATTGTGCTTACTTTAGACAGAGTAGCAAAAATTTACAGCAAAAGTTAATGATTATGCAAAACAAGACCTTCCGATAGACCATCTGTCTACCTTTCGAACCAGTTTGCTGGCATAACTATGGTATTAGCCACTCATTAGATTATAAAACAATTTGTCATCAATTTTAAATTTAGTTATTCGTCGATAAGTTGCACGCATCAACATGTTGAATAAAATTCCTTGTTTAATGTCTGTCATGTTTAATTGATGGTCAATTACTTACCCGTCACTTAGATATAGTGTTTTATTTCCAGACTATATGTTTACATCGGTTGTACCTTTGAATATTCTACACGAAGTATTTTAGAAGAATTCATACTCTCCTTCACCCTCTTAAAAATATTCCGAAACTCAGTTATTGTAAAATCTATTTTTAAATCAAACCAACCGATAAGGTCGATTTCGGAAATGTTTTCCTAAATTCTTCCAACAAGGCAACGAGTGAATGTCCGACATCGGTAAGGGAGCCCGCATCACTACGCTCGCCCACCCCCGGGCCAAATATAAAAATCATTCGTATGGACAAAATAAAATTGCATCCCAAATAACCCGCCGCTCATCCGGCGAAAATCTATTAGCAATAAATATGAAGTTTCCGATTTCACCAGGATTTAAAATGGCGATCGACCGGTTTGATATAAAATCGGGAAGTTCTTATGAATTTTCTGCTTTATGGCACTGTAGTTTTATTAGTTCCGGTGATTGTGTGCGGAAAATATTAGACAGATAAGTAATTTGAACCCTCTCATTGCACTTTATGGTCTACGCTTTTGTATTCTTAACTGTTGGTATTCAATTGTATAAAAATGTCTTTTATTGATTTCTACTTGTGGTTTTAATGGAATTAAATATTAAATTTATTTATATGATGATGCATAAAGGTTGTATCACTTTTTTGAGGATCTAAAGTAACGCATCGCTGTAACATAATATAATAAGACAAGTATGGTAATTCCAATCAAACGTAGCGGTGCGCCCGCCGCGTGCTGTGTACCGACGCATACATTCGCGATACACTCGCGTTGCTTAACGCTAGTTGTCACACGCGCCCTTCATTATAATGCGAATGTGTGCGTCCATACACGGTACGCGGAGGGCGTGCACACGTATAAACCGCGCTGCAGCGTGTGAATGGAGTTACCATACTTGTCTTGTTATACTATGGTCGTACTTTGTATACAAGAAGTAAGTAAATTTGTAGTGATTTATTTGTTATTGAATTTTTTCTTATCGTATCGATGACATATACAATAATGCTTGCCATTATTGACTTTTTTTGTAAGTCAATGCTTGCCATCGTAATTGACTCAAAGGAGAGAAAGAAAGGTAAGTGTCAAAATCAAAACAGCAAATTGATAATTTTCCCTTTTAATTTTGATATTTTCATCTACGATACAAGGCACACACACAAATTTAAGTAAATTAATAATAATTACATAATAATAGAAATAATAATAAATAACACATGCTTTCAGAATGCATACAAAATAACCAAGGTTACTCGATAGGTACGTACAGTGAAAAGCCTCGATGTTAAATCAAAAGAAAACTACTCTAAGACAATACTGCCGTGTGCCATATCTTGAACTATACATTTTTCTATATCAGTATTGTCATAATTACTATAGTTTTGTGGTTGAAATGAAGAGAACTGAAACAAAACGCCACATTCATGCCTTTACACAGTCACACATGATCAGCTAAACATTTATAGTAACAACTAAGTTATTCATTACGTCGCATTACCCATTACAGATAATATGTATGAAATTAATTGTATGAAGCGATCTTTTTACTCGGCGCTTGACTATTCCATTGTTTTCTTATATTAAATTTTGTTTCATCAAAACTGATTAAAATTATCATTACCTTTTAAGTATGACAATAATGCCAAGCTAAAATTAGTTTAATTACTGTTTACTAAGTAAGACGTATTAATAGCCAAGCGCCAATTTTACGCCCGATACTCTAATTCTTACTTCAACTATTTTAGACATTCAAAGTCTTCTCGTAAACTAAGCAATATAAATAACGCTATCATTTTATACTTTATGTATACTGTTAAAACTACCGCACTTACTGTAACATCTACCCATATACATCGACTTTGCATTACGGATATGAGATACAGCGAATATATCTATATACAGAGCGTCTACTTTGAAACTTTAAAGAAAACACTTAGGTTATACATTGTACGAACTGTCTCTTCTGTACTCAGTCAATAAAGAATTGTAAAAATGTATCTTTAAAATCACTAACTTAAAGTATTTATAGTACACTTTTATGCAATAAAAGTTATATGAATTAGTTACATCTAATCATTGCACTAAAATTGAATAAATTACACGATAGTGAAGATCACATATTTCTATTGAACATAAATTTACTTTACAAGTAATCAATGACTTGAACAGTGTACCTACTCTTGTAAAGTTTTACTGACCACAAATTGATGGTTTCCTGTTAACTAAAGTTTTGTAATAGGAACTTAAAATCATTGCAAGTAATTCGACTAGTAGCAAAGGCAAAGGATTTATTTAAAAAACTTTTGAAAAGCAGTCTTCGATCAATTCCCACCGTTTTGTTACACTCAATATCGGAAAAAATTGTAACATTCATAGTTTCATCTTATGATTTTGATATGTTCATACTCGTAGGTACAAAATGCTGTTACTAGCAGAAAAATGATCATTGATTTTTTACAAACGTTGGATGCTTAACTCATAAATATGGCATTTAAAGATAAGTTTACAAGGTACTTTTTTGTAAAGATTAAATGTTGACGAATAAATTACGTGAATCGTCGATAAAACTGTAAAGACTTACTCTAATAATGTAAAGAGATATTTACAAATTTCACTATGGAAGAAGTGTTTGTGAGACTTCGGCTTAACAACACGAAATCTACTTATCTCAATTTCAATAACAATATTTACAACTTAATCTCAATACGCGATTGTTCTTATTTCGTCGAGATCGGTTACATCAAAACATAGATTGTAAATCTGGTTGAACATATACAATATACATGTATTCGAAACTGAATGGCCAAAAGATTTTTGTGACCAGAAACACTAACAGGAGCGTTAGCGTGCATTCTTCTCTGGCTCATGTGTTATTTGGATCCTACTTCTCCCGGAACTCGGGTTTGACGCTTATTAAGGGTTTCCTCTCTTCGTCTTTGTCTGGGTTGTCGGGGAAGTCAGCCCCCGCGCTCGGCAGCTAAGTGGCTGAGGAAAAGAGCACGGAGTTCTTGTAATAGCCAGCACGATCTGAGAGGGGGCTTTTTACATCGCGCTCCATCGCTTGCTGTCGGGACTTGCGTTCCATCTCCAACTCTTGAGCCAAGGATTCTGATGACAAGCAAAAAAAGGTTTAATTTTAACCAACGTAACAAAATACTTACAAAAGAATTGTTTATCCAGACGACATTGCATGTATTAAATAATTAATTTAAATTGCATAAAGTTTAATATCTCCGCATAGATCGTGTCTATGGAATGTAAAATCAACCCATACGCAATTATAATTTCCACACTGTACAATAGTAAAATTCATATAGTGAACTCGCAATTTCACATTTTATAATCACGTTACTGGAGTTCCATATCCACCGAGTGAAATGAAATACGAGTGTGTCACCCCGGAAAATGTCATTAATGTTCGGGGAAGTGGGGAAAGTCGGAACATCAAACGGACTTTACATCCGTATTGCTTGCTAATTTAATACTGAATGTTGTCGGTAAAAACTCTCTCAATATCGCACAATATTAAACTGATAACAAGAAGGGTGAATATGGAACTTAATAGGTGTTGTAGGTAGGTTTCATTAGAGTGAAATCAATTAATCAGAAGTTCAGGACTATTAAGAAATAGTTTAGAAATTTAGATAATAGACTTTATGCGGATAAACTTAAGCTTAATATTGTGAATCAAAGGATTTTAATTTCACCCTCAACGGGACAGGAAATAATTTTAAATAAAAAATAGAAACACGTTTCACGAAGATTCTCTCTAATAAGATTGTGAGAAAATTGACAAAGTTCGTGAGCAGGCAAGAGTAGGTGAGGTAAGGCAATTGTCTCCGAAAACGTCGACGTTTTACGAAATATGCTTATTCAATTTCATGCAACGCTTGCCGCCTCCTACAATTTACGAGATATAAAAGATATAAACGGAATCGCCTTTTTTGCTTACTTTGATGGAACATTTTCTCAACGGGGAATTCAATTTCTCATCCTGACATTCGTTTACAATTTATGTTTTGAGTGTCCAAATTTATGACCTTAATTTTTATCTAACTTGATACAAAATATTTTTTAGATTCTTATAAGCCTTTTATATTCTATGCATAGTGGTGGCGGATATAACAAACGGGTTAATGATCTCACGTTATTTTTGTTTTGACTTCTTATAAAAACAAAGAATAAACAGTTTGTGTCGTACTTTGCTTTCAAAACATTCGTCACTCGAAAAAACTCAATTATAATCCGATTTGTTTCAGTGGAGTTTGTCCGCAGGGCATCACACTTGCAAGTGTCACCCGGCGAGGGTTGTGCCGAAACAGAAACCTATTATCCCGGGCGAGATTATACGCCTAGGGCGTCACAATTAAATATTATACACTTAAAAGCTTCGGCCTTTGCCGTTTCACTCCACTGCCACCCCTAAATGTCCCATTAGGTCTGTTTGAATACATAATATTTTTGCATTTGCCGCTCTTAAAACAGAATTGCCGGTTCCTTTGAGAGCCGTAATCTATTTGTTCTTTGAAATAACTGTAATGCTCGAACGTTGCTTTAATAAAAACTTAGCCCTTTAACGTTCGCCTTCTTCCAGTGACAATGCATTTGTTCGCGTTAAATTAAGAATGATTTTGTTATGAATTAGGTAACGACTTGATGACGACTTGCTATATTACTTTTATAGCAAGTGTAAAAACACTTAATTTATTTCTTTTGTAATGTTGCGGTTGAATGGTCACGAAATGGATTTACCTCACTGTACAAAGAAATAAAATTATGGCTAATGACTTCTTGGCTTTCGGTGCGATTTCAGTATCAAGTTTTTCAATTGTAGCTATATGGTTCGAGGCTTTCTTAATACTTCGTTGTAGTCAAGTGACATAATCGACTAAACAAATAACATACACAGGCCGCATCCATCAGTCCGTTCGCCAGCCGTACCTACGTAGCAATCAACAAAGGGCACAATACGTAGATTATAATACCGCAGCGACACGGCGTATATGCTTTATTATAATGTCAATTGAATAATAAATATCATCATGTAATGCCTTAATTTTTTTTTCAATGACGAGGGTATTGTGTTACCTATATGTGGCGGCACTCCAACATTAAAAGATATTTTAAAAGCCACTGAAATTTCTGGACTACCTCCTGGATGTTGGCCTATATTCGATTATTTAATTTTAAAGAGCAACTTAAAAGTAACGTATTCAATAAAAAATCATCGATATCTCCTTTTTATTACAGTACGATTTAAACATTTGTAATGGACGTCATCGCTGATTAATTCCTAGGGAAACGAATCGATTTAATAATTAAATAGAGGTACGAGCAAGAAATTACGATAGTCGCTAGAGACAAACAACAAATTGTTTCTCTCACTTCGATCTCGTAAAAAGTAGTTGATCATACCGGGGTAGTTTTTCTCACCTACTATGAATTGAAAGGTGATTTCATAGTACATTCTTCTTTTTTCCACAAAATTTTAAGGACTTTGTTCAGACACCCGATATCTTTGAATAATAGAAAGTTGCCTTTTACTCATGAAAAAATGTAAATCTCATTATTTTTTAATGATTTTTAGCGCAATCGACACCTTTTGTTGTTAAGGCAAATTAATTGTTGTTGTTATAAACGTGTAAAAAAGAGTTGATTAATTCTTCAGTGAGAACTCGAGAAGGCTGTGATCAAAGGGGTGATTTAACGAATGTTTTGGTGAAGGGAACCCCGAAAGGTAAATTGGAAGATCCTACCACTGAACTGTGGTCAACACACAATTGGAACAAATGAACAGTGAGCGAGATGAGGCGCTACTGCCGACTACTGGAGCGTGACCAATCATTCTGATTGGATTGATTTTCTATTAGAGAAATTCCTAAAACTTTTTTAAAAGAATCAATTCCTTCGCGCATTTGATACAGATCGCTTCGATTATTGTATGACAGTCTTTGAAACTATTGACACGATGACTAAACTGAATTCAGAGAGCCACCAGAAAAACTAAAGAACATCCAATAAGAAAAGTTGGGATACAATGGTACCTGTATTGCTTGAGCATAAACAAAAAGTTAATATCTTCAAAGATCGAGCACACCTGTGCGGTACGATTTTATTTCCATTCATTTTACAAGCGCACCTATAAAGTAGCCGGAGAAGTTTCCTCTTTATTAATTTTTCAACTTTATATTACTTAGCTATGTCGGATCACCCGTTTCAAAGGCGGTCCGAAAATGTAGCGTTGGGACAATTTTCGCAAGACAACAGGCTCAAATTTTAAAAGTATATATTAAATGAGTTGGCGGTTATCGTGTCAATACTTAAGAAAAAGAGTTTTAAGTAGTCATTCGTTAATTTTTGACCCACCTCATTTCGTGCAAAAAGCACGTATACAAAACTTTTCTAATTTACGAATAATAAAATAGGTTTTTTCTTTTACCGGCGGCGGCTGGAGAAAGTTGATGAAAGGCTCCAAGTTTTAATTTTTGTTTTTCAGTTAGGTACCAACCTTTTTTATTTACAACCCTCTTCTATTTTTCGTTTTAACTTTATACGTAGAGATATTGAAATGAGTTTCCGCATTACTCATAGCACGCAGTACCGCTTAAAACTTACTGCAATTATATATTTTAATACTACAATTTAAAGCGTGGTAGACAAAGGGGCACCTAATCGATCAAAATTGTGTGCAATAACAAAAATAAATAAATCCATTTCTAGCTTTCCTTATTCGCGTGTTCGCGTGCATTTAGATACTTGAGGCCGGGTAACACTTAAATTAGTTGCAATTTCTCCTTGAAAAGCAAAGGGCAAAGCCACTCGTCGGCAAAACTCAGGAAATAATTAAAACCATATCAATGTTTTGCATACTGCTACTTGACTACCTTTCTACCCCTCTGATTTGACTCGCGTGGAATTAACTTCTGTTTGACAGCATACTTTTTAAAAAAAGAACCTTGTCAGTACAATGGAGTTCGTGGAAATTAGAGTAAATTTTTAAGAACGTTAAAATTGTCTAACACATTCACGGTTTGTGTTATATTACAATTTTGTGACATTTGTCATCACATACTTAAGTATTTTCCGAGTAGGTAAATATTAATTTTAAATTAAAATTTACAAATCGATACTTAATTAATAGGAAATGAAACTATTTTTCCGGATTTAAATCGCGTATATTTGTTTTCCATGGTTACGGTTGACTGATGGGACCTGTAAAGGACCCGAAACGTCGGTTTGTTTGAAAAAACAAATATACACGATTTAAATCCGGAAAAATAGTTCATTTCCTTTGTGTAACAATCGCGAAAACCTAAGAACTCGATAGATACATACGAATAGATCTTAATTAAATTTAATAATAGAAAATAAAAAAATTGTTGAAATTGTCTGTATGATGACAATATACTAATTTTCAAATTATAATTCAAATCTATTCATTAATTTTTATGAAACGCAAAGGGGATTGTAAAAGAATGCTTAACAGTCAAAATCCTCACAGGGTAGGGTTATGCATCCATAATAGTACTGCATGCCCTGCGTATGCGAGTGCAATTTTAATGAAATTTCTGGGCTTTCCACAAAGCGTCTACGAATTAAAAAACTACGGTTTGATACGCCACATGCGGATAAAATTTTTGTTCATATTGCGGCTAGATCTTTATCGGGCTCACTTAACTCAATATTTACAGTATTTTTATTGAGCGTTTGTGGAGACAATAGCTTCTACAAAATTTCTATAATACTGTTCTTAAATTACCGCATGTGGAGAAACGTTTGAAAAACGGTAAGTTGACGTGAGTGTATTATTATACGGAAAAATGGTAAGTTAACGTGAATGTATTATTGTACGACTGCAAATTAAAACTCGAACAAAATAATATTAAGAACATGACTTTTTACTCGCTAGTTATTGCAGTAACAATGAATCATAAAAAAAAAATGTTTAGTATTGCATTTCTTTTTCCGAATGGTCAAATTCCCGTATTTTTCTGTTTGGACACGGTATAAAAGGAAGAGTATAAATTTCATTTATCGAATTTTTTTCATCTTTCATGCGAGGGTCGGTAAACCGTACGTTTCCTCGAATGCATTCGAGTATTCAATAACTAAAATTTATGAACAATTTTTGTGGAAAATTGGTGGAATTACGACAAATTACGTTTTATGAATTACTTTTGGAAATTATACCCTGTTTACAGTGACAGTTTAAAGTATCAGTGACGTGACTTTGATTTATACTAACAGTAACAGTTTAAATCATGTCTTCTGAAATGAATAAGAGGTGTCTCACCGGAGTAGTTCTGCCAAAAAGCTGCTCCTCCACTCATGATGTCGACGGGTGGTGGCGGGTAGTTCCACTGTGGCTTTTCAGGGGTACGCGGCGGGTCACGTTGGAAGGGGGGAGATGCGGCGGGGGGTTCCGTGCTCGGTGGTTTGCTCTCGTTGCCATTCTCGCGCTCGGACCGGGGAGTCTCTTGTGAAGATGGATTCAGATTCTCTGCAAGAGAAAAAAAAACTTTGATGACATTTTGTTTGATTCTTTCCTGATTGTTTAATGAATAATCCGTCAGGTTAAATAATAATAAATTGATTATATTCCAAATATGATATTCCAAAATGATGATGAGGCATCAGGTGTAAAATAATATGGTTCCGCCTTGGTTAATACAAACAAAATAGTAAGCAGTTCGAATAATCTCCGTAATTGGCAGGGACATTAAGCCAAGCAGTGAAATGGACAGCCAATAAAAGCAAACAGCTATTATGCAAGAAGTTGAACACAAATGCGTGTTAGTTCATGCCCTCGCTCCAAATGGTCTGCGAAAGGATTTCCTGACACGGAGATTAGTACAAGCCTTCACCAGCGTTTACCCACCCTTCCTACGTCACGCACTCCACACGAGCAACCCGGCGAATGACGTCACAAATCACCCCTTATCAACTACAAGAAGCAGTCTTAAACACAAAGCTTAGAACACAACTTGGAATACACCAACTATATGTATTCTAACGGATTGTTTGAAGTTTTAGCTAATACACAGATAGTTTGACAGACGGCGAGTTAACATGTCAGGGGCATATCGCACTCGAACTTGTTGAATAGTCTGATAGTGAAGGTATTGACATGTTTGAGAGTTGTTGTTTGATTGACAGTATACGTTTTCTCACAAACGTGCTCAAAATATGTTTAATATATTGATTGCTACGTGTGGTACCTATCTAGTAACGTAATATAAGTACTATCTGAGGGAACTATTGCATTGGAATTCAAAACACACACTACTCAAAGTTCAATTTATTACAACAAATTGTTCACCTGTCTCAGCAGGATACCGACTATTTCTAACATATTTATATAGTTTTTTGCAAAGTGGTTATAAATTAAATTTAGAATTAAGTATCGTTACTTACCAGTTACAATTCTGAGGATTTCGTTAGGTGCTCCGGATTGTTTGAGAGCTTCTTCGATCTTTTGCCGCCTCTTGAGTTCCACCTCGAGTTGTTCTTGCACTTGCTGCCTCTGCTTTCTCTCCTTCTTTAGTCGTTTTTGGTACATCACTGTGACAAGACAGAAACACAAAATGATAAATCATTCAATCAATCAGAGTTGTGAAGAATGTTTCATTCCAAATACACTTGAAAATCCTTAAATAGATCTTTGCAAACATTTCAATATAGAGTTGATCTTAGAAGTCAATAATAAATTGTTGTTATTGGTTCGACGTGAACTTAATGGAAGACCCCGCAGCGCATGTTTCTGTGCCGTATCGAAACAACAATTACTAAAGCCGCGCGCACGATAAAATAAAACTATACGCCATACTTCTCTCCACCTGCATTCGTAAGCATATGCACATCAATAAACTTGAAAAGTGCAAGACGCCCGTCTCTTTCGCTCTTATATCATAACTTTCCCTTATCAGGTCACAATCTTAAAATAAGCAGTTCGAGAATCTTTTGATTCGCTGCAGTTACCACCTTTCGTTTTGGTGAGTCTGCCGATAATCGCCCGATCGTCCGCTGATTCGTAAAGCATCTCTTTCATGCGTGGGAAGTTATGATATTTCCATCTTTCTCGCACTGGAGTTCGATTGACGAATGATTGAGTCGGTACACGTGTTGATAGACGCTGGAGGCCCTGCCTCCGCGAGGGCAGAGGGGCGGCAAGGGTAAGTAAGTATTCAAGACATAAACTTTCCAAAACTTGAGACTGTATGGAAAAATGACAATTCGTTGAAGCGTATTTAACAAAAAGTTAAAAAAACCTGAACTATCATTTATAAATGTCTGGGAAAAGTGAATTTCGATGTCAACGAATGCATTTATCGCATATCATCACAGCGCTTAAAAAGTAAACATAGGTCGAAGACGCTATGTTACGTAACTTAGACCCATGACCAGTTCGCGATCTGTCCTGCGATGGCTAAGATAGAGGTTTGATGAAGTCGAGTTGCGATCAGACGCGGATTATTCGTCGTCGTTGAACCGGTTTGAAATTGTTTAGATTCCTAGATGCAACCTTGTAAAGGAGTAACATTCTAACATGAAATTCGAATAACTTTGTAGTACATTGCAAATATAGGTACAATTAACTAGAGTTGCATTCATATATAAATTTTCTATAAATCAAGAATAAATAAAGAGGTCCCTAGAGAAAAGCTCGGGAACTATTAATTCGAAAGATGAACAAGCACAAGAGAAACAAAATAGACTACAACGCAAATAGGGTAAAACGAGAGTTCCTGAAGGTTCACGAAGGTTTTCTCATTATGATTGGTTAATAATTAATGTTAGCGGTAATGAACGAGGTTCGCTATCGACTCCTACGCACCATCCGTCATTGGGCGACCTTCGACACGACGGTAATGACGTGAAGCTTTTTATTTCCATTGGCAATATTGTTCTTCAGTTGTTTGGGATCATTAGCTATGTTAGTAGGGGCATTATTGGTTTGATGACATCCTTGTGATGTTTCTTTAATTTTTTTCAAAGGTTCTTTATGATAATGAAAAACTATACGCACTTATAAGTGATTGTTATTTTTGTCTTTCTTTCTTATGTCTAAATAATAACTAACGTTTTTAGTAACATTTTCAGATGTTAACATTATGTATACGACCGTACATAATTTCGTTAGCAAAATTAGGACGGAAAGGTCCTTTTTCAGTTAATTTCTCGTCAATACAAAGGTGGGCGTCCAAATGTCCGTTCAGTGGAAAATGCAACGGACCATCGAGTCCGAGTAACGTTATAGTCGAACACCTCTGAAAAACACCTTCTCACCCGACTGACGCTTATTTTTGGCTCTTTTCATCTCACCTTGTTAATTAGCCCGTAACTTATCATCGTCTGTACCTACAGTTATGATCTCTAATTCAGAATTGAATAATCTTAAAGAAGTAAGTACCAAATAGATTATATTTAACAATTAGGTTTAAATAACAACCTCATTGAATCATATCATATCAAGTTAATTAAAGGAAACTAAAATGCCAGCCAAAAGTCTCTCAGTTTTGCAGCATGGCTTATTGTTTTTTCTTTCTTTTTAAGAATCAATGTTTGTCTGCGATCGTCGGCAACGCTTTGTGCACTTAATACGGCCTATTGCTCCTTCATAACTTCATAGCCAACGATGAATCGTAATAACTCTTCATCGATTATTTCATTCCATTGATGCAAGATGAATAAAAAAATTAATTATCTTTTTGTACCGTCTTTATGTCGACTATTCTAATTTCAATGCACTGACTGTCTTAAACGACTATCCTATTATGTTAATCGTTCTATTGTTCCATTTCTAGACGCTTTGAATTAACACTCGTCTAATAATCATTGAGAAGATGTCAGTATAATAAAACTAAATGATCTGCGTTTATTAATATTAACAATTAATTTCAATTAAGCTGCTGTTTTTTAATTAGGTTCCACGTTTGGTAATCTTATTGTGGAAAAGGTATGTCAAACTAACGCGTATGCTAATACCATTCGCCAGTCGTAAATTAATTCGGCAGGAATACCGGAATAGAATTAACAGAATACAACGAAGCTTGTGATATGAAGCGAAACAATTCGATGACCGAGCGTATGAATAAAAACGAACCACCGAAATATTGAAGGAATCTGTTCAAAGGGGGAAAAAATGCAATAAAAAGCCCAGCTCGATACAGAATGGGAGTGTGGTTGAAAAGCAACGAACGAATATGGTTGCGAACATCCGCCGCAGACAAAAGTTGGGCTACTTGACTATGCAAATTATATTTGCGGACGCCGCTGCTGAGACCCGATCTCCGACGTTTCGTTTCACTTTTTCGTTCATAACGTGTATTCTTTTCATATTTTCATCCGATTTCCTTCCCCTTGTTCATTTTGTTCCGTTTTTAAAAAGTCGCGGAACAATGCCGTTTTCCGCAGGCTTATTCGCCGCGAGCAGTTTCCTTGCACGCGGCTTCTTTCTCTTGTTATTATATCTATCTCTTTATATCTATCGAGTTTTCTTTTCTTTAATACTTTCGACTCATAAATGGATGATACGGTCCCCTAGGGTTTGTTGCTCGAATAACATGTAAATGAGTCGGTTGCCTGTACAAATTTTAATTTTGGTCTCGTATAATATTTCGCAGAAAACGATTTTCTGTTTACATTTTAATGTTTTGCGATATGGGTAATTTGTAAATCATATTATTTATGTGATATTTTACGTGGATACATTAAAATCTTTTTTCCTTAAAAAGTTTTCTTAACTGTAAGTTTACGCTGTCGTACCTATAGTTCACGTACTGGAAAAAAATATGTAATGAATAAAATCCAGTAGTCTTGTAATAAGTAATAACAATTTGCAAAAGTAAATTTTAATGTGTATTAACATGTTAATTTTTAGTATATCTGGGGACCAGTGGGGTCGCTTATCGTGACAGTATCGATAAACGGGACGAGATAACATATTAAATACTGAAATTACTGTTTTTAGTGTTCATAATTAGATGCCCTCTAGAAAGGTTTTCATATAATTTTTGTACCTAATGGCTTACAGCGATATCATTAAATATTCCTACAGTCTGTTCTTGAGCATCTCTTATATCAATAATTTAGTCAAGAAGGACCATTTTATACGGACGAAGTTCTATAACATTCCGGTTTCAGCGTTTTGCTGCAAAACGTTAAATGTCGTTTACATATTGGAGGATTAGTCATTCATTACAAGAACAAGTTCCAAGCAACATAAAAATTACTTTAAAGAAAAAATCCTTGGAACATTGTTTTAAAAGACCAAAAGTCTTTCTTTATTAATAATGTCATTGTCATATACAAAGATTATGATGTTATAGCAGTAGAGCTCCTTGTGAAAGAGTTCGTCTACTTTACCTATTTCTGTACTTCTGCCGTCAAGCAGTAATGTGAGCATCTTTCGTTCCGGTTTTGAGGAGCAAGGGTGCTGTTGAAATGACAGGCACACGGGACTTGTCAACTTATATCTCAGGGCGACGGACCAAGTGGCAGTGCCCCTCAGATCTTTGCGTTTTAGCTCTAAGCTTCGAGCAGCACTGCAACTATTATGGACAGGCGTGTAGCTTAATATCAGGAGCACGAATTGTTCATTCTATCACTTGTTATCATAAAAAAAAAACATTTTTTGGTATAGTCTTTAGTGGTATAAAAATACTATGCGCAAACGCAACAAAATTTTTGAACAGCATTTTGTAACAGAAAATATGCTTATTTTGTGTGTTAATTTTATTTTTAACATATTGTCCCTACATCGCATCCTCTTCTAAACTACCTACTTACTTACTACTACTTTGAATCATATCATAAAAAAGGTAATATATAATGTACGTAATGTTAAAAAAAAATATTGCATACATCTTTCAATCTTTAAATGTGTCCAAATTGATACAACACAATAGATACATATAACTACTTGTAGTTTTAGAATAAATATTCTGTGGCTTAATGTCCTTACATGTTGATGAAAAATGGTAATCTCCCTACCCGAATAATAATACGATGCTCATTTTTACAATAATTGCTTACCAACAACTGTTTGAATTCATTTTTTCGATTAAAATTTAAATTAAGGTAATAAAATAAAAAGGACTAGAGCAATTATGAACACTTCAGACGTACTGCATATTTAGAATGTCTTGATACATAACTGTAAATGATAAAAATTTAACAGAAAATTTGTAATTAAATTTTTATTGAATTGATATTCAATTATTTTTTTGTGTAATTACTCCACTAGTTTGTTATAATTATTAATACAAAGATCGAACACTCAGAAAAATCGTTGAAAGACCAAGTACAAAGACACGACGCAAGCACATAGAAAAATTCGTGAGGTCCGTTGGTTCGTTCCGTGGCTTAGTTGGTATAGCGTCTGGCACGGTATGCAAGAAGACGTCGGTTCGAATCCGACCGGATCGAAGGAATTTTTTCTGAGTGTTTTTTCTGAGTGTTCGATCTTTGTATTAATAATTAGAAAATTTGTAGTTAAATAAAAATCTTAATTAAAGCCGTGTGATAACTACTGATAGTTCTCCCATGTGTGCAATCGGCGT